TAAAAATTATTAGTTTTGAATATTTATAAGCATTATTATAAAAATAAATGTTTAGTAATATTATATAGTTTAATATTTAAATAATTAATATTCAAATATTATGTTAATATTCAAATATTTATAAGCATTGTTATGAAAATAAATATTTAGTAATTTCATATATTTTGAGATGGAAGCCCATCAGTTTCTCGAGAGGGTCTTCTTCATGGTGTTTTGGCAAGTTTTTGTGGTTTTTGGATCTTTAAGCTATTTTCCTTTCTTGGTGATTGATGGGATCATTTAAGTTTTTGTTTTCGTTCTTGTTGATTCAATGGCTTTTGTATTTTAAGGATGTGTTTATTTCTGGGTATTCTTGACATCTTCCTTCTTTAGCTTTTTTACTGTTCTTTGTTGAGGTGATTTCAATTGCTTTTGTCTCTTGAAGAGTGTTGATGTTTTTTGTTTGGATCTACCAAGGTTCCGTGACCTTCTTCGGTATTGTGTTGGAACTATGGCTATGATGATCAGCACAACCAGGGGATCTTTAGCCACGCTTGTGCTTCGCCTTCAATAAAGAATGTGCTACAAGCGGCGAAGAGGAAGGCTAGAGCAATCCTTGAAGTGTAAGTGTTCTAGGTGGCAAGTGGTGAGGGATGAGAAAAGGTGGAAGAAGCGACGGATTATGGTGAATAAGAAAGGTAGAATAGAAAGACTGTTTGAAAGAGTTTAAAGAAAGCTTGCAAGATAATCTTTGTTGGGTGTTTAATGATTTCTGCTTTCTTTCCAACATCTAAGGCCCTCATATTTATACTAAATAAGAGTATTTTCTTAGGAGTTGTTAAAAGACCATGTTTAATCATGGGAGAAAGTGTTTGTCATAGAAAAGCAGTTAAAGAACGATTTAGGAAATATTAAAAGAATGACTATATAGTCGAGTAGTGGACATAAGTTTTGGGTAATGGAGTAATGACACTTGATAGTGCATCACGTGTGTTCTTAAGAAGCAAAGAGAGATCAAGGGGTAAAGTAAATGTACTTCAAGAAAAAGTTAAGAAGAAACCCTGTTAACTATTTCTATATTTGAACCACAAAGCCAAGATCTCTAGAACATCCCAAATATGAAGGAAACTCATGAACTCTACTACTTGTTCTAAATTACTTTCAATTCCCCATACAAATAGTTGTTCCATACTTGTTCTTCTGTGTTTCTGTACTTGTAATGCTCCTGAACGTTTACACATTGAGAACTTAGGTGCTTTCCCGCTTGGAATACCTTTGGACGCTTCTACGCTTAGAATACCCTTGGGCATTGTCGTTCTCGGAACTCCCTTGGATGCTTTCGCTCTTGAAATGCCCCTAGGTGCTTCTGTCCTTAGAACACCCTTAAGCACTTATGCGCTTAGAACACCCTAGGCGCTTCCATGCTTAGAATGCCCTTGGACACTTCTATGCTTGGAACACCCTTGGGCACTTCTTGGCTTGGATAACCCTTGATGTAATTTTCCTGTAAACAGTACTTCAAAAATAATAGTTAACCAAAATTGGGTATCTACATTTTGCTTTCTATATAGAAATTCTTATAAGGAGTTTTATGCATAAAATAAGGAGATGCATATAGAATAAAACATGGCAACGTTTATATAAAAATAAATAAATAAATGAAGAATAGCTTGCAAATTGATATATTTATTATTATTACTTTTATTTTTAGTATTATTTTTTTATAATTTTTTATTTTTTATTTTTGTTATTGTTATCCTTTACGCACTAAGTGATATCCCTGGGCGACTCCACGCTAGGAACGCCTTTAGGTGCTTTCACTCTAGGAATGCCCTTGGGTGTTTCCACTCTAGGAACGCCATTTGGCACTTTCCTATTAAAAACGTTCTTGGGTGCTTTCTTACTAGAAATACCACTACTCGCTTCCTTGCTAAGAATGCCCTTGATGTAATTTTTTTATAACTCTTTACTTAAAAATAATAGTTAGTTAAAATTGAGTATTATAGATTCTTCCATACAAATTATTACCTAAAATTGTGCTTTATTTAGCTTTATATCCTTATCTTTTACAAACTCGTACAATAGTGACAATGCAACATTCAAGCTATATCCTTGAATTGCGTTCACAATTAGGGTGTTTTGTTTATCGAAACAAGTAGCCAGGAGTCAGATTAACATACCAGTTGTAGGCTTTCTCAGTAAAGGACTTAGAGAACTCCTTCAGCTGTAGATCATCGTCCAAGCCTAAGACTTCGAAGGTTTTTACAAACTTCATGACATGTTCTTAAGCATCACTGGTTTTGCCATTAAATTGTTTGAATTTTGGGCTGGTGTAATTCTTGGGGTATGGTTTAGCGACTACTTTAGCAGGATAGGGTAGTTTCAAGTTAAATGCTAAGAAGTTGAGACACTTGTTCTTCTGATCGAGTAACTTCTCCAAGTATTTCTTTGTAACAAAACTTTGAGTGCTAATGGAAGTAGTTACCGTGATGGGATTGCATATAACAGAGAAATTGGTGGTATTATAAGGTGGGTTAGTCGTGCTCTTTCTATTTTTAAAAAAAGGTAAAAGGAAGCCTTTTTAACTATTTTTATATTTAAAACACCAAGCCAAGCTGTCTAAAACATCTCAAATGTTAAGGTAACTCATAAACCCTACCACTTATTCTGAGTTACTTTCACTTTCAATACAAATAGTTGTTCTATGCTTGTTTGTGGGTGTTTTTGTGTTTATAATGCTCCTAAACATTTTCGCGTTGGGAACCCGAGAGCTTCCGTGCTTGGAACATCCCTTAGCACTTCCATGCTTGGAACAACCCTAGACACTTCTGCGTTTAGAACGTCCCTTGGAAACTTCTACGCTGGGAACATTCTTGGGCACTTTCGCCCGTAGAACGCCTCTGGGAGCTTCTGTACTTGGAACACTCCTAGGTGCTTCTACACTTGGAACGCTTTTAGGCACTTCTATACTTGGAACACCCCTGGGCCCTGATGTAATTTTCTTGTAATCTACACCTTCTTTGTTTTGATTCCTTGGTCTTGTGATGTGTGCTTCAAGTGGTTTTGGTTTGTGTATTGTTATAGGAGATACTTTTCATGTGCCTTGTTGTTCGTTTGTGTTAAGGCAAGCTTGACATAATCTTGTTTTTAGGGATGGATCGTTTTGTAGGATTTTTGTTTTCTATAAGTTGTTGAGCCCATGCAAAGCTTTTTCTTGCCAAGTCGATTCCATGCCAATAGGAGTCTCTTGCTAATTTAGCTAAAGATTAACAATGGCATACTAGATGTATGGTTAATAAAAATTCTTTTTGTTAAAAAAGTATTTTAAGAGATAACATTTGAAAAATTAAAAATTTACACTAAAAAATATAAGTTTATTCAACTTTACATTTTCATATATAAAGGTAATTTTGTAAATTAACATTATATTCTAAGTAAAGTGTTGTCAAACTAAACATTGCAATATAATTTTCTCAATAATCACATTCTCATGTATACTAACTGCTATAATATTGTCTAATCAACAATTACATACCTAAAAATTACATTCCTAGTAAAATATCAAATGTCACTTAACTTCGTTTCATTGAATGGTGGAAAAGGAATGAAATCATAGCTTTAGTAAATCATTTTGCTATTATATATTTGTTATAAGTTAGAATAAAATAATAGTTTTAAAATAAAAGTATTTTTTTGAAAATGAGAGATTTATACATTAAAATATTTTTTAAACAAAGGAAAAGGTACTATTTCCCTTCCGTTTCATTTTATTCCATTCCACTCAATCCAAATAAAAACAAAAGTAGGGATGTCAACAGGTAGGGTATTCGTTAAGTTTGAGGTATCCAAACTTGAACTCAATTAAAAAATAGAGTACCCAAACCCGATAATTACTTGAATATTTTTTAACTTTACTACCCTAACCTGAACCCTAATACATATTTACTACCCGATAATTATTCGAATCTGTTTAAAAACTCGATTATGTTAAAAAATTATTAAAATACTCTTAATGGATACCCAATTACCCGAACCCATACCCCGTATCTATATACAATAATATTTTCATCCATATTTCATATAATTCACCAATAATTAAATTTATAAAAGCACATAAATAATAAAATTTAAATTAAATAATCAAAAATAAATATCTCAAATATCAACTTAAATAATTAAAAACAAATATTCAAACAACAACTTAAACATTACAAGTTTAATTAACTATATGGGTTTGTCCAATGAATTAAAAAAATAACTATTTTCCAAAATTATTCTAATCTTATAATTTCTTTTTAGGTATATATTTTATAAGTTTATATACACAAAAGTATATATTATAAACAATAATTTTATAAGTTATAATTTCTGTAACGTTAACACAAAATAGAAAGTAAATATATTTATATTTAAAGTGTACAAACTAAAAATATATATGTAATAGTAATTGTATTCTTTATAAATTAACACAATATATAAAATATATGTATTAAATGATATTACAAGTTAATTAAAAATCATAGTTTTATGAATTAATTTAATTAATAATATGAATTTGTATTTGAATACATAAAATTAAAAAAATATATATAATCGAGTTCAGGTATCAAATATCCAAGAGATAAAACCCAAATTCGATATGGGTAGTAATTTTACTACTCGAACTCGATTATAAGATATCCTAACTCTATATAAGAAGATCAGATACCCGTTCGTATCCTATAACAGGATATCCATTGACATCCATAAATAAACGTGTTAGGATTAGACATATATTTGTAAAAATCGAAAAAAAAATAAAAGGAATCCATTGACATCCTTAAATAAACATGCTAGGATTAGACATATATTTGTAAAAATCGAAAAAAAAAAAAGAACAAAAGGAAAAACGTGAACGGCAGGATTCGAACCTGCGCGGGCAGAGCCCACATGATTTCTAGTCATGCCCGATAACCACTCCGGCACGTCCACAATGACGATCGACGCTCCCCCTTTAGTATACTATAAAGATATATAAAAAATTGGGCGGCTGTCGGTATTCTGAATCTTTCCCTTTTAAAATGAATATCACATAACCCAGTATCTAAAGGACCCTTCCTTCTAGTTTCAAACAGAAGAAAAACAGGTCTTCTCTATTCTCTCTTTAAATTTTGCGTTCCAGCTTTAATTAGTTATTCGATTCAATGTGTTATTTTGGTTTAGCAAAATTGCCCAATCATCATATGAATTTGTAAAGTTTTTGTGATCATTGATTTGGCATGTAATGGAACGATAGTAATATTAATATAGTATAATTGTTTCAGACGGCCATGTTTGGTAGTCATTTTAAGTGAAATTTATCTCCAGTTGTTGCTGATTAATATGGAATCTGAAACAGCTTGCTTGCATGGTATCAAAAATTGAACAAAGATTATTATAGTTATCGAGGTGGCCCTTAAAATTTAACATGTCTGATTCAAAGACAAGCCGAAGTGGTGGTGTTGGAAAGACCCAGACGAGAAATCTTCCATCATGGATGAGTTCAAGGGAGAATGAGAGTAAATCAAATGAGTCAAATGATGGTAAAGGGCATGGTCAAGGTTCTAACAGCACAAACTTTTCCAAAATTATGGTACTGAATATTTATGAAGTGACTTTGATTTTCTTAGTTTCTATGATCAAGCAATGGAATTGTATTTGATTTGTTTCTCTCTGGGCAGGAAGGGGTGGTCTTTGTATTGTCAGGATTTGTTAATCCGGAGCGCAGTACGTTGCGGTCGCAGGCTTTGGCAATGGGAGCAGAATACCAGCCTGACTGGAATTCAAATTGCACTCTCTTGGTATGTGCATTTCAAAATACTCCAAAGTTCCGACAAGTTGAAGCAGATTGTGGAACAATTGTATCGAAGGTAATGTAAACTGCTGAGGTATAAATGAATTCTAGATCCATTGCACCACTCATGACTCAGTTGTTGTAGTCTCACCTTTTTAGTTCACCTATCCAATTTGCTATTTGGTCAAATTCAAACATAAGGAGATTCTGTGCTTTTGAGTTTTAACTATCGTCTTGTTACTCCTATTTTGTCTTAAGATATTATGTGTTATCTGAGTTATAAAATTTGAGGCTGCTAACTATATGGGAATGGGAAAATTCATTCAATGCTGAAATCAGGTGAAGAGGATTTGTTAGTGGATGAGCTCCCATGGTCATTTCATTCATAATAGAGCAGATTGTTTCTGCTTATCAAAAAGAAGGAGAAGATTATTTCTCTATTATCTGAGATTCTCCTCAAGCTGTTATATGATACTTGTGTAGACTCTTGCTTGTTAATCTGATTATATCTACTTTGTTCTGCTTTTCAAAAAAAAAAAAAATCTACTTTGTTCTGCCTCAGGAATGGATATCAGAATGTTATGCACAGAAAAAGGTTGTAGATATTGATCCTTACCTCATGCATGCTGGGAAACCTTGGCGTAGAAGCAACATTTCCCATGAAACTAGTGAAGGTAATGTAATCTGGGTGCCTTCTTTTGTGCCCTTTTGAGTGAAGACTACTTATGAAATTATTATGTTAGAGAAGACATAAATGGAAGACCTCTTTGAGCCTTATCCCTTGTGCTAATCACCCAAGCCAAGGTTTTTGGGGCTTGTTTATTTTCACCCTTGTTCGAATCATTTGGGCTGCTGATCATTAAACATATCTTTATAAAACTTTAGTACGTGAGTTTTTAACAACTTATGGTGAAAAGTGATCTTTGAGAATAATAAAGGAGATTTACTTTGCTTCAATGTGACCTGGTTTATCTTGAAACTTACTGAGTTATCTAATAGAACCATAGAGCTGTTGGCCCCTCCTCTTTCAGATTTGCTGTCTGGAGCTATGTTACAGCAGTGAGCCAAATTTTCACCACTTTTGTGTGCAAATGGCTTTACAAAAGATCAAGAAGAACATATCTTTATAGCAAGCCCTGTGTGACTATAACCACGTAGTTTTTCCTGCTGTGATTAATCATTAGCAGTGGCTGAGATGAGTCAAATGACATTCAATTTTTAACTGAAAAATTTTGGTGCATTATTGAAGTCTAATGTGTTGTATTCATCTAACTGTAATTATTGTAGTGTTTTCCCTACTAGTATTTCCATGTTTCAGCCTGTCTAAGAAGTCTTATGTTCTTAATTCAAAGAGTGCTTGCAGAACAAGAAGGATCCTCATCAACAAAATCTTACAAGCAAGTTGAAAAATCACAATCAAAGACAACTTCCATTCCCTCCAAGGTAGCCTTTGGTTGTTAAAAAAGATAGAATGATTGCACTTTCCTTTCAGTTCCATTATCCCATAGTTTAAAATACTAGGACTATATAGTTGCTATATTTACCAGTGGTGATTTATTTTCAGAATAAAGCTTCTCATCCCGCTAAAGAAAGCTTTCTTCCTCCTGAAGTGAAGAAGTGGGTTATTGATGATTTCATTGGAACGATTTCATGGCTAGAGAGTCAAGAGGAAAAGGCGAGTGGCATTTATTGCTTTCATTTTCTGCTGATATATTGGTGTAGTTGGCCTCCTTGTCCATGTAGACTTCCAATATCTATATACTAGCATGATATCTGCGTTCTCTTTTAACAGCCAGAACCACATGAGATAAAGCAAATAGCTGGTGAAGGGATCTTAACTTGTTTGCAAGATGCCATAGATTGTCTTGAACAAAAGCAGGTATGCTGTTCTCAGGAAAATGAGTTTAAGCAAACATTTTCAGGATTATACGGTGAATATAATATAAACTAGATAATTCGCCCAGCCACCCTCAGGGTTACAATTTTTTTTATTAGGAAAATAGTAATAGATTAATAAAATACCTAACTTTCAAAATATTTTCTATTTTTTTTACTTATTTGAAATCGCAATCTTTTTAAAGAATAAAATCTAAAAAATTTAAAAAATTGAGTAAAAGAAAGTAAAAATGTTTTACTCTTTTACACATCATTTATTATCTCTTGTTCTCACTTTTTCTTGTTTTTTTTTTTTCATTCAACAAAGAATTTTCAACAAATTTTTTTCAATTTATTATATTGTAGTATAATATAGTTAATGAAAATTAAAGAAAAAAGTTTCACATAAAATAGATAATAAAATTGTCCAACTTCAAAATCTTAAGAGAAAAAAGAAAAGTAGGTGGGTTGAGAGCTGGCACTCCCATGGAGCTCCCAACCCAACTATTATTGTTTGTTATGGATGTCTCCCTTTAGGAGGTACTTGTAGCACCACCCATATAAATATAAATTTGCCTGTTGCAGATTCATCAATAAAATAATCTTCTTCTTAATTATAATCATTTTATTTGAAAATTAGACAAAATGCCACAAGCATTCAACTTAGTCACACTTTATCTATGATGGAATAAAAATAATTGTTGTTGCAAAGTGTTATTCAAAGGGCAGGGTCAAGGGTGTTTACGTTCTCTTAGATCATTTGCTTTTCTTGGCAACTCAGTATTCTACAAATGGTATCCTTGAAATTTTTCCCTCTTATTTTCAGCTGTTGGCAAGTGTTTCTTTATGATTTTCTGGCATTATTAGCAGTAATGAAGTTCGAAGGATGATCATCAATCAGTAACCTCTTTTTGCTCCTTCATCAGGAGCCTCTTGTAGTAGGCTAACTGAAGCAGTTCTGTGAATGAGGATTTATAACAGTGGTGTTTATAAGGTCCATATTGTTTGTAAGATCTGTCAGTAAAACATAAAATTATTCAAAATGAATGTTGATTGCTGACAGTGCTTCCTGATAACTATCTTGGCATAAAGCAATTAATATACTTGGGGATCATTTTATCACTTTATATTATGGAATTGTTGGTTTCTTTCATATTTTTTTTCTCTAGTTGCCTGTAGCTGGGACTATGATGCAGAATCTTGGTGCAAGACATGTTCATATTAGAAATTAAAAATTCTTATAACCATGATTTTTGTGGCTGTTACTGTCTTGCTTCTAACATAATTTACCATTTTGCCTGTTGTTTAGGATGTGTGGCAAATCACTGAGCAGTGGAGCTTTGTCCCTCGTGTGGTCAAGGAGCTTGCCATGTTTGAGGGCAGTGAGCGTGGTTCACTCGCCAAGGAAGATCTTTTGAGGAAAGCCAAGGCCTGCAAACAAATATACGAGGATGAACTAACCAGGTTAGATGGTGATTCTTCATCAAAAAATAAAAAGCCAAAGACTGATGGAGGTGAAGAGGGTAAAAAGGGGGGAACAAAAGCTAGCTCCAGGGATGCAACAGGATATGACAGCGATGAAACGATCGAGATGACAGAGGAGGAGATAGACCTTGCTTACAAGAATTTTGCTTCTGAAACTTTGTAAATGAAGTTTTACGCCGGTGGGCTGAAGTACCGGTATAATTTGTGTTATATGCTAGAGTGTTGACTTGAAGCATATGCATTACAGGTTTAACAACATTGGTCGAAGAGAGACAGGGTTCCCAGTGCTGTTCCTTTCAGCTTGGCATACTCTCATCTTTCCTTTTGGATGTTTGTCTCTTTCATAACTTAATTCAGGCAATCACATTTTTTCACTATTTATATTGTATTAGTCTGAAATTCGAGGCTGAAATCCCAACCACGTCCATGTGTCACAAGGAAAGTGCCTCAATCCCACATCAGGCAGGAGCGGGAGGTCCTGGGCTCCTTATAAACGGTGGTGCTGCACACCCCTATAGACATGTTTATGGGGGAGAGAGTAATGACCCCGTGACAAAGTGGTATCAGAGCAGACCGGTCCTCGTTCTGACTCACGCCAAGCGCCCGGCCCGGTGGGGTTGGCCCAGTGGGGCCCAACGGGGTAGGCAGGGTGGCCGACGGCAGCGAGGACGCTTGCCGATTCGGGTGGGTGAGAGTGTCACAAGGAAAGTGCCTCAATCCCACATCAGGCAGGAACGGGAGGTCCTGGGCTCCTTATAAGCGGTGGTGCTGCACACCCCTATAGACATGTTTATGGGGGAGAGAGTAATGACCCCGTGACACATGACCAGACTTGAAATGCTTGAGGAAGAATTTCTTCGTAGCAGATGCATTTTAACTCTTTTACCGGTTTTTAATGGATTTTTTATGCATATCAGAACTCCTTGGATGTTGCACGTTCAGAACCCTTGTGCGGCTCATTGGTCCCGGATCAAGGAGCACCCCTTTTAGGTAAAAAGGGCTCCTCTGTAGCCCAAACCGAAACTTTAGCCCAAGTCGAACTCAAGAAGAACCTCTTAACACCGACAAAGAAAAGTCAAATGAATACTTATGTGTGTAACATTTATATAAAAATGATAATTTTTTTATAATTTTATATTTTCATTCTTGATTTCAAATAATTTTTAATTTTATATTTTCTTCAAATATTTTTCTTAATTTGACTAGTATTGAAGGATTTATAGATTAACATTATAAAATTTAAATGATTTTTACTTCAAATTTTTCACTTTCTTAATATTTGTATTTATATATCATTATTATTAAAAACAAATAAAAATAAATATTCACGTGTAATGCATGTTGTCAATTGTTTGACATAAAGAAGAGTCTATTAATCGGTACTTAATTAGTTATGTGTTATTTTATAGTCTTATTAAAATCAATTTTAGTTTAATATTCAATTTTATTTTCTTTACTTATTTTCCATTGTATTGTTTTACCACCTGTGATAATTATTTTACTTTATTTTCTCCAAGACAAATGAAAATTATTTGATATTTAGAATTTTCAAAAATATTTTCTCTTATTGAAATTCTTAAGAATCTCTTTTGGCATCCTTGAAATTTTATCATTGAAAAAATTTTATTTATTTGTGTTCTATATTTTTATCTATTTATTTAATTATCTCCTCTATTAGTATTTATATAAATTCTTAGTATTGAAATTTTCAAAAAACCTCCAACTCTCGGAAGATTTTATCTTTGGCATTTTTGAGATTTTATCGGTGGATTTGCATAAATTAAATAGATGTTTTATGGCATAAACACATTTATATTGGCTTTATTCTTAATTCACATATATTTTAATTGCTTATTTATCATTATTATTAATTACAATATATGTCTTCTACAATTCTAAAAGAACAAAAATATTTAAAGATTATTTAAATAGTACATGATAAAAAACTTAAAATAATCTAAGATATAGAACAATAATGACGTCGTTATAAAATAAATTATCAATTTGTCATTTGGTTGATTAAAATATTAGAAGAAAACATAAATATTTTCAGAGGTAAGAAAAAAAAAAGATAAAAGCTTCCACTTTCCTTTTCTTTCTTTCGTTGTTAGTAACTCACCTTCCATATTTGGACCTCAATTTGTTGCCATTAACTTAGTAAAATTATAATAAAATTTTTATAAATTAATACCATCACGAAAATTTATTAATTAATTTATCAATAAATTAATAATTTATATATTAATTAATAAAAAATTAATTTATTAAAATATTAAACTTAATACATATATTATGAATTGTGATTATAGAACATTACCATCAATGCAATCACAATCCAAAACCATCAACACAATCGAATTACATTATAACAAACACTGTAACATAATTTAATTAAATATATTATAGTATTTAATTTTTTTTTACGAAAGTGGTTTCGAATCTATACTCTTTAAGAAAAGAAATCATACACTAATCAATAAATTAAAAAGTTTAAATGTGTTATGAAATAAATATAAAAGAACAACTATAAGAGAAATATAAGAGAAAGTATTTAGAAGGAAAGAAAGTATTTAAGGGGAGAGAAAAACTCTTATTGAAGTATGTATACAAATGAACTAAGGAGGCTTATTTATAGGCAAATAACCTTTTTACAAGATGAAGATAACACTTAAAGATTAAATTGATTATATCATAATTTAATATGATTTACATCAAATCTAGATATAGATAACGTGAATGGATATTAACAAAATATTCATAACACTCCCCCTTGAATATCCATTATATTAAGAATATGCCTTATTAAAACCTTACAAGGAAAAAAACTCATGAGAAAAAATTCAAGTGAAGAAAAAAGAGTACATAATTCTTTTTTAAGAATATGCTTATGAAATACTGCCTCATTAAAAATCTTATCAAGAAAAACCCAGTGGGAAAAAGCTTGATGAAGGAAAAGAGTACAGTGCGTATTTTACTCTCTCTAATGACTGCATTGTAGAGATCTTTAAAATGATGCATTCCAACTTTTCAAATGTTGCAATAAAAAAGGCTTTAGTGAACAAATTTGCTAGATTGTCACTTAGTTGAATTTGTTGAACACTTATTTTACCAATTTTTTGAAAATCATAAGTAAAGATGGATTTTGGCGAACTATGTATTTTGTTCGATCGCCTTTAATATATCCTTCCTTTAACTATACTATGCAAGCAGTATTATCTTCATATAACGTTGTTGAAATTTCTTTCTTAGTTGACAATCCACACATTTCTCAAATACATTAAGTTACAGATCTTAACCAGACACATTCATGACTTGCTCATGAGTTGCTAAAATTTTTGCATGGTTAGGAGATATAGCAAATATAGTTTGCTTTATAAAATGCCATGAGATAGTTATACCTCCATATGTGAACAAGTAACTTGTCTAGGATCGAGCTTTGTGTGGATCAGATGAATATTCTGCATCTGCATAACTAATTAAATTTATTTTGATGCATTTGAATAATGTAATTTCATATCCATTGTTTCTTGGAGATATCGAAGTATATGTTTAATTCAATTCCAAGGTCTTCAAGTAGGAGAAGAACTATATCTTGCTAATAAATTCACAGCAATTCATATGTCAAGTCTTGCATTGCTAGCAAGATACATTAGTGCTCCAATTGCAATAAGATATGGTACTTCAAGACCAAAAAGTTCTTTATCATCTTCACGGGGTTGAAAATGGTCTTTTTTTTTCACATTTAGTGACCTTACAGCCATTGGTGAACTCAATGGATATGTTTTGTCCATATAAAATCATTTTAGCACTTTTGCTATATAATTTGATTGATGGACAAAAATTTCATTTGTCAAGTATTCAATCTGAAAATCCAAACAAAACTTTATTTTTTCAAGGTCTTTCATCTCAAATTCTCTCTTTAAGTAATCCATAGCTTTTGATAACTCTTCAGAAGTTCCAATAATGTTCAAGTCATCAACATAAACAATAATAAATTCATATATAAACCCTTTCATAACATTTATGGGCATATAGGGTTATTCCTATAACCTTCTTTCAACAAATATGCACTAAGGAGATTATACCACATGTGTCTGGATTACTTTAATCCATAGACATATTTATTTAATTTGATCAAATAAATTTCTCAAAAATTCAAATTTTATGCTTAAAGCAACTTAAATCCTTCAAGAATTTTCATATAAATATCGATATCAAATGAGTCATATAAATAGACTATAACTATATTCATTAGATGCATTTCAATCTTCTCATATATTGCCAGACTAGTTAAATATCAAAATGTAATTGCATCCACCACACGAGAATATGTCTCTTCATAATCAAGTACCAAGTTTTTGGGTAAAACCTTGTGTGACAGGCCGTGCTTTATATCTCTCAATCTCATCTTTCTCATTTCGTTTTCGCACAAATAACTATTATATCCCATTGATTTTACGCCATTTGGTGTACAGACTATAGGTCCAAAAACTTCACATTTTGCTAGTGAATTTAATTTCACTTTGATTGCATCTTTCCACATTAGCCAATCATTTCTATATCTACATTTTTCAATATATGTAGGTTCAAGATCCTCATTTTCTTTCATAATATTGAGTGCTATATTGTATGCAAAAATATTGTCGACGTTTATTTCATTTTGGTTCTTACTTTTTCCCGTCATGATATAATTTATTGAGATCTTTTCATTTTCACTAATTTCAAGTACCAAAATTTCTTCTGGAATTATGTCAGGGGTCTCTTCTGGAGTTTTTTTTTTGCTTTTTTTGACTATCTTGAATATTTGCTCTTTTTCTTTTTCGAGGATTTTTGTCTTTGGAACCAATTGGTCTTCCACGCTTCTGGCATGTCTTAGACTCATTAACAATAGTAGATTGTCCTACATCAATTCTGATTGGAGCATTTGCAGTTGATATATAAGATTTAGTTACTCTTTTTAGGTCAGTAAATACGTCTGACAACTGATTTGTTATATTCTGCAAATGAATTATCTTTTAAATTTTTTGTTCACATTGATTTGTATGAGCATCAAGACTAGACAATGATAATGTATTCCAAGATATTTCCTTTTTCAGCTGTTTATTTTCTCCCCTTAATGTTAGAAAGATTGTTTTATCAAAATGGCAGTCAGCAAATCTTGTAGTGAATAAATCTCCTATTGAAGGTTCTAGATATTTATTATAGATGGAGATTCATATCCAATATATATTCCTAACCTCCTTTGAGGACCTGTCTTTGTGCATTGTGATGGAGCAATTGGAACATATACCGCACATCCAAAAATTCTTAGATGAGAAATATTTAGTTATTGACCATAAACTAATTGTATAGAGAGAATTTATAATAACTTGTTTGACCTGATGCATACAAATACTATCGTATCTAAAATTGCATGCCCCCAAGCAAACATTGGGACTTTGAATTCCATAAGAAATGGCCTTTTAATTAGTTGGAAGTGTTTAATAAATAATTCTGCTAGACGATTTTGTATATAAACATAAGTGACAAGCTGTTTAATAGTTATTCCAACTAATATGCAATATTAAAAGTTTGAGATGTAAATCCACCAGTATTGTTAAGACAGATAATCTTGATTATATAACTAAGAAGATGTGCTTGCAAACGAATGATTGCAAATGCCAAATTACAAACTGATAATAAGCATACATGTGACCATTTAGTCAATACATCGATTAAAACTATAAAATATCTAAATGGTTCACATAGTGGATGTATGAATCCACATATAACATGAGTATTATTAAAATATGTAGGGAATTCAATCCCAACTTTAGCTGATGATAGTCTTATAATTTATTTACCTTCAGAGCAAGCAGCACATAAAATTCATTAGACATAAAATTTATTTATTTTCTCAATCTTCTGGTTTTTCAATGAATGATCGTATAAATTTTTAATTTTTTTTACATCATTATTGATCCGGGATGGTCCAATCGGTCATGTCAAATATTAAAATCATTAGTAAACTTCTGGTTTACTATGAGTTTCAATTATTCTAATATTTGTATAGTTTAATTCTAAGACCAGAACAAGTAATTTTTTTTTACACACATTTTCTACTTGAAATAATAAAGGTAATGTAGAAGTATTAAGTGTTTCCATTCGTTGTCTCAATATAATATCTATTCAGACAAATATCTTTAAAACTTAATAAACTTCTTTGAGACTTAATAGAAAATAATACATCATCTATTACTTTATTCTTTAAGGTCGTAAAATATTAGCTCTTCTGAAGCCTCCAATTAATCTTGTACTACCAGATATTAAACTAATATTGACTTTTTTTTATGTCGTTAAATATAATGTGTGTTGCAATAATGTCTGTTAGACATATATTTACATTATTGATCTTAGATCCAACAATATCAATATCTATATTTTCTTCAATAAAATAAAATATATACAATAAGAAACTTGCAAGTTAACATAAAAGAATATTAAACATAGAATTAAAACACGTAATAAGAACATATCATTTAAATGTAATAAAAACATATTAAAACTTGTTCATAATATAATTATCCTAAATATACCAATTACTATTAAGTTCGTTCTCGGATATTTCTATTACCAGTCAAATGATCAATTTCTTTTTGAAGAGAAGAAAAATCAATAATAGATATATTTATTACCAATCATATAATCAATTCCTCTTTTATGGTGGATAAATATCTTGATGTACTATATCAACTTGACCATGATTAAAATTATCACAATTAGTGATGCTTGATAAAATTTAAGACATAACTAATGATCTTTTATGCCACATCAATAACAATATATTTTCTATATTCATTTTATACTTTTCATTATTTATCCACTTCTGGTGGGTTATAAGTAGTCATCCACATCTTGATGGGTTATCCACTTCTGGTGGGTTATAAGTAATCATCCACATCTTGATGGGTTATCCACTACTGGTGGGCTAGTGTGTTAAGGTATCCATCTACTTTAAATTATTCATCTATTTGTGGTAGATTACAAGTATACAACCAAATTCACACATGATGGGTTATCCACTTCTGGTGGATTATAGGCATCCATTCATTTTTATAGTAAAATTATCTATCAACTTTTAGTAATAAAATTATTCTTCAATTCAGATTATAAAATATCCATCCACTTCTTGTGGTAAAATAATAATTAAAATAGTGCTCGTGTAAATTGTTATGGCTATAATAATTAAATGATATTGCATTCACTTCAAGGAATGGATGGATTCATGATTATAACTATAATTATTAAATAATACCGCATTCACTTCAAAGAATGAACTAATTTATAATTTTTTATTAGTATCTTGTTTGTCACATTCACTTCAGAGAATGACCATTCATAATTTTTTATTAGTAGCTCATTTGTCACATTCACTTTAAGGAATGGACATTCGTGGTTTTTCATCAATAGCTATATAATAGCAAATTCACTTTCCAATCAAGAGATAAAATATAATGTATATAACATAATAGTAAAATTCATATTAAAGTTGATTTTAAGATAATAAAAATACTAAAGAGATATTAAGTCACTTACCTGATTTTTTTTAAAATCAAAAATCAAAAACCCCAACATTGAAATCTTTTTGAAGATTTAAAATGATGAAAACATAATAATTTTAAAACTTGAAAGATCAGAGAATCTTCCTAATAATGTGTTAGTGCTGATAACGTGTTATGAAATAAATTAGAGAAATATAAAGGAAAGAGAAAGTATTTAGAGAGAAAGTATTTAGAGAAAAAGAAAATATTTAGGGGGAGACAAGAAATCTTATTGAAGTATGTATACAAATAAACTAAGGGGCTTATTTATAAGTAAATAATCCTTTACAAGATGAAGATAACACTTAAAAATTAGATTGATTATATTATAATCTAATATGATTTACATCAAATCTAGATATAAATAACATGAATGAATATTCACAAAATATTTATAATAAAATATATTTTATAATATTTAATTGAGATTTAGAAAAATCTTACCTTGTACAGATGTTATATATAAATATATAAATCATATTTAAAGTCAAAAGCCCCAACAGCAAAAAATAACAAATATAGAAAAGAAAGGGAAAATAGAAAAATTTCCTAAAATCACGACGGCTGTTTTCATCACTCTCCAACAAATTTATTTTTTCTAAGCCGGAAGTTCTAAAAAACTAGTATAACTATTTATTTTAGCTAACGAAATTACAAAAAGAACCCCTAAGATGGCGCAAAAGACAAATGCCCCCTTGCTATTTTTTTGTAATTTAACGCCCGGTATATTATTTCAACATAATTATTTATTGATTTATTATTTTTTTATTTTAAGCTTTTTGTTCACAGTAGGGTTGAAGCAGATAAACGCCACCACTCTCTTTTCTGTCTCGCTCTCTCTCGCAAACCCCTTAACTCTCCCTTTCTATCTCAATCTTTTCATATCTCTTTAAACGCTTTCCCTTTTGTTTTCTCTGTCTTCGATTCTTATTTTTCTTCTGGAGGTTTCTAATTTTCTTTCACAGAGAAGACAATGGGAGCTTCGTTGCCTCCGAAAGAAGCTAACCTCTTCAAACTCATCGTGGTAAGCTTCGATTCCTTTTCTCTCTTCTTTCAATTGGTATCTACGTATTTCTACTTGCTCTTTATGCTCGTATTGCCTTTTTTTTTATTTAGTGTTTGTACGATCGCGTTTCTTTTTCTTTTTGTTCTTTGCTAGCAAAAACCCTAACTTGATACTGGTCTGTTTGGTTGCTAAGAAAATCGGTGGATTTTGAATGAGGAATGGAAATTTGTTCTAAATATGCTCTTTTGTGAATTTAGTTTTTTCAGTAATTTTTTCTGGTAAAATTAAGTTCATTTTCGTTTCTCTTTTGCGCTTTTGAAGCTTGATTAAGTTTATTGACTTTACTTCAATCCGGTCGATGAAGTGGATTTTGTTGACAAACAACAGTAAAAGATTGAATTTTGCATAGACCTTTTTTTTTTTACTCTATTTATTTTTAAGTAAGGATGTTCTTTGTGCTTTGCTTTGATCACAAATCATTTGTATCATCATGGAGAAAATTACAGAAATGAAAATAAAAGGATTTCGTGACTTTCCCCATTGTAGTGATTCTCTTGCATGTCGTTAGCCCTTTTAAACTTGAATTTCCTTGGTTTTTAATGGGAAGCGATTGTGGCATTTTGGGTTGGGCAAATGTAACCATTCAAGACTTAATAATAATCTCTGTGCAGCAATTTGTTAAGAATTTGATAATTGAGTGAGCTGGTTTTTAGGTAATTGTCCACTGCATAGGTTAAATTTGTAGCAGTGTCAATGCAAGGATGTGCTCTATCAACTGAATATATTGCATTACTTTGGGGTATAACTACATTTTTATATAGATTAAGAAATTGTTGGTTTCAGATAAAGAATAGGAACATTTGAACGTTTCCATACACTCTTGAGTGTCCCCCTCACTCCCTTTTTATACTATTTTTTAGTTGAAAAATGGAGTTTTGCATGGTGAACGCTCGACCCTTTTTAAGTAATATATAAATGAACTCTTGACACTGTTTACCCTGATTTTTGTGTAATTAATTTTTTTTTGCTATTATACTCTAGCTAATTCTCATAACTGAATATTTAAATTATTGACTTCGAGGTCCATGTGCCTTTGCTGAAGCTGACTTTGTGTATTTTTTCATCATTGCAGAAATCATATGAAACTAAACAGTACAAGAAAGGACTGAAGGCTGCAGATGCGATATTAAAAAAGTTTCCTGATCATGGAGGTTGTTTAATTTCATGCACTTATAATATATTTTTTCAGCCAAGAGGCACTTATTGTTTAATGTTAACATTTTCATTGCCTTTTTAAATGTACCTGTGTAAATATGCAACAACTCTGAAACAAAAAAAACTTTATGCATTAGACGAAGGAGTGGTTATCACTAGATAATTTGTGTTGGTATCCATGTTATTGGTTTGGGCAATCTCTACAATATGTCTCTGAACTTGACATGAATGTTTCTATGGATTCATTTCTTATGTGTTATTATTGTCTGTTAATTTCCATTTTTGGAAGCACAGCTGTCTACATGATATATGATTCAATGGTTCTAGTGATATGTGGAATATTGTAGCACTATCAATGTAGGGATGCTCTCTCTATCAATTGAATATATTGCGTTACTTTGGGGTATATAACTACATTTTTATTTCCAATAAGGTTTACAATCTGCAATATTTGAATAATTTCTTCATCTTGGTTAGTTTTTTTGTGGATATTCATCAATGTGTGGAATAGTATCAGTAGTTCTCCATCTCTATCTCTCTCCCCCTCCCCGCTACCCCCTTCCCTCTCAGTCTGCATTTTACTTGATATATTCATCCTTTTAAAAATGCACTTTTGAAGTAACAATATATACTATTTAGTAACTGTTTGTTTATTGTGTTTATTTATTGTTCTTATGGACTTTTGTTCTTTATTATCAGAAACGTTGTCAATGAAGGGGTTGACCTTAAATTGCATGGATCGTAAAACTGAAGCATATGAACTTGTTCGGCTAGGTGTAAAGGTTGTCTCTTTTCTTTTCTTTTCTTTCAATCATTATAATGGCAAAGCTGTGTCACTTTTTCCTAACGTGGTGTTCATGTTTGCATCTTATGTAGAATGATGTAAAAAGTCATGTTTGCTGGCATGTTTTCGGTCTCCTCCATCGGTCAGATAGAGATTATAGGGAGGCTATCAAATGCTATCGCATTGCTTTGAAAAGCGATCCAGACAACATTGAAATACTGCGGGACTTGTCACTCTTGCAGGTATACCTGATTTACTCTCTCTGTAATTCACACTTTTAAACTCAGTATTTAATCTAAGATGTGCATCAGTTGCATAATTACTATTAAGTAAGGAACACATGCTCACACAAGTTCCTGACATTAATGCTTATTTGGCATTTTTCAAACAATTAAAGGAGTTTCTCTGTATAAGATTTCCTGTAAGCTTTGTGTTTTGCCTTCAAAGTTTTTCAGATTCCATTGCTGAATTTGATAATGAATCTTAAGTATTGGCCTTCTAATAAAGTCAAGAGTGCAGCTAAAATTGCTTGTTGCGAATGTTTTTTGCATGTTCATAGTGGTAACTTAATAAAACTGGATGAAAACCCTTATATGAGGCTGAAGTTAGTGGTGAAAATAAATTCTATGAAATTGAAGCTGTTAGTTGCTTGCTAGTAGATGGATAGAAAGGATAGAGTTATAATGAAATAGTAACAAAAGAAATGAAAAAAAAAATTAGAGTCTGCTGGTTTCATAACTTTGCAAATCTAGATCATAGGTTTGATAGAAATGGTTTATGGCTTTTTATAGAGGAAGGTCTTTTGATGCACAGACAAAAGTACAAAAAAAAAAAAGTAATACAGTCAAAAGTAACCAGTTTGATTTGATTCTTTCATTCTCATTATACTGTAAGACCAAACCACCTTGAATTGATACTTTCTGGCCTACTACTACAGATCCTTTTATCTCTCATTCGACTAGTTCCTTAATGGTTGAAAGTGTTTGTAGACTGATCTTGCTCGGATCAGATCTGATTCGATGCTTCACTTCATCTTCATATGTGCCTTACTGCTCCAGAATAGTAACAAAGGGTCTAATGGAGAAATTGATGAATTTTAGATTGAAGACTAGTGATCTTATGATTCCCTGTATGCTGATTTCTATTTCTATTTTCTCTGTCGTTCCTTTGGTGCTTGCCATATTCTATGGATTCTTAACTCCTGATATTTGGAATAATTAAAGTCATCTGTTGGCAGTAACGTATTTGTGTTTTTTTTATTTTTATTTTTTATGGCTTATATGACTTAACGCTAGTTAAAGGAAAAATAAGTGTGAAGTTCACGAGCACTTGTCTTTCTACTTAGATATGGAGTTTGAGAGAACGTTTTTCATATTTGATAATGGTTTTGTATATTCTCATTTTTCTCATTTTTCTCATTTCAAGTTTTTTCAGAAATTGTTACATTTTTTTTTATCTTTTGTATTGCAGGCACAAATGCGAGATTTGACAGGATTTGTTGAGACAAGACAACAACTTTTGACTTTGAAACCAAATCATCGCATGAACTGGATTGGCTTTGCTGTAGCCCACCATTTAAACTCAAAGTATTCGTCTTTCTTTATTTTTTCTTCAGATATAAATTTTATTCCATTCTTATGCATATCTTTCACCAATTTCTGTCAGCTTTTATTTTGTGAAACATGCTTTAGAATGCTGTTATTGTTATGCTGTATTTTAAGGTTGGAATAGAAGGGCCTCTTAGTATTGAGCATTGAAAGATTTGTTGATATTAAAGCCTTTCTTTAAATTAAATGCTTAAAAATCAGAGCTCTACGTTTCTAATCACATGATCAAATGGATGCTAACATGGATGAAGTACTGTTGATTTTTGATATGTGGTTCATATGATTTCATCTAAGCATGCAATAAGATTTCATTAAAGGTTAAAAAATAAAGGTTCTGTTGAAGGTATTAAAATACTGTTATGGTAATATGTGGGTGTAGACTGTGATGAAGAAGTTAATAATATATATAAAATTATAGATAAGTAGGTGGGTAGATAGAAAGGTACCCTACTTTACTAGGAAGCTGGTGACACATGCATTTATGAAATTTTGTAGCAAATTAGCGATTTACGAACAATCTTTTAGAGTGGCTTCAAATGCCTTGTTAACTGCAGAATTGTGTTGTTTTTGCTATGGTTTATTTGGAAGCAATGATGATGCCATATTTTCTTTTGTCTTCTATCTGTTGATATGAAATGATTATGTTGCATATTTGATTGAATGAATTCAGTTATTGCATTGGCACATCAATTACTGGGCTTTTCTCTTTACTTTTCTGTTCACGCATTAGCCAAGTAGTTCTAAGCAAACGAAGTCTTACTTTAGTTTCTTTCATTCTTTAGGTATTTATGCTTAATGCCTTTCTTTGGTTGATATCAGTGCTGCAAAAGCAGTTGAAATTTTGGAAGCATACGAAGGGACATTAGAAGATGATTATCCACCAGACAATGAACGTTGTGAGCATGGTGAAATGCTTTTATATAAGGTATTGATCATGTACTGCTCTTAATTTTTTGCATGCATATTCATGTGGCTGCCACTTCACATGAGTTGACTTCATTATACAGACATTCCAAATTTTAGAATTATACTAATGTATGATGAGAGTGATTGAGTTGGTATCGCTAGTTAGCCAGACACGATAGTAGCTAGTAAATTAATGAAAAAACAAATAATAAATACACAAAAGTAAAGCCTTTTTAACTTCTTTATAAATGTGGTACTATTTTTTAATTAATGTTTTTTCACATGCAATTAAAAAAACTACCCATTTCTTCTTAACTTCTTTTCTCCTTCTGCTTATATTTTTGCCAAAATCTAGTATTCGTTTATGGAAATGTTACACCTAATATTAGCACACCTAATCTTTCCACTTTTGAAGTATGGATTTTCATGATTCTTTGTGTATGTTAGATAACGTAAATTAAATCATCTCAAAGTTTACATTAATTTGAGTTGGAGGACTAGCTGGTAGCCCATAGTGGTGTTTGGCATGTATAAGATATTTGCAGCTTGTTTGGTTCATGAAATGGAATAGAGAAGGAATAAAATGGCTCTTCTTTGGGAATAGAATAAAAGGCTGATGACTATTTCATAGTTTGGTTCATTGAATGGAATAAAGGAAGAATGCTATTAAGATGTTTGGATGGCGAAAATTCTATCGAAGAATGAGTAAGGATTAAATTGGAAAGTACAATTTTACCCTTTAATGAAAATTAAGTATAATTAACTAGAATGAGAAATAAAATAATTTATTAATAAATTAATAAATTTTATTATTATATTACTAAAATATATGATTTAATGTTTATAATTTTTTATTACATTTTATTTTTCCTGCAAATTTTTTCTTTTTTTTCCTCTTCTTTTTCCCTTTTCTTCCACCCAATTCACTCGCCCAATTCACTGATGAGGATAAAAAAATTGCCACATGTGACAAAAAACTCATTGTTGACATTGGAACAGCCATCAGAACAATTGCTTTTAGTCATCGAAACCTGGATCTGAGGTTGCCAGCAGCAAATATGATTGTCTGTGCATCTATTCAGCGTTGTCCTCACTAGATATAGCTGCTGGTGACTCGTTTGGGGTAGCCATCAGCTAGACCTGACTGTTGACTTGCTGATCTAGACCTTCTGGGGGCTTGATCTAGCCACCACGATCTCATCCGGTGATTTCTGAATTTTTTGTTGTTGCAATGAGAATCTAAAAGCTACCAGCATAAGATTCAATGTTCGGCAAACCTTTTGGTGTTCCCAAAGGTCAGATCTGACCTGCAGAAAGTGGATCTGGAGTTATTATCGTCAGAAACTTTCTCGGTTGCCAGAATGATGTGATAGTGGTTGGCTGATGACTTTTCTCTCTCCTAGCATGTGGATAATATTGGAATTTTAAAAAATTTATTTAAGGACAAAATAGCCACGAATATATAAATTCTATTCCAAGATATTGGGAAGAGACTCAGAATAGCCATTCTTGGGTTTTCCTTTAGAATGGCTATTCTTTGATTTTAAGGAATAACCATTCTGTGGAATGGCTATTACTTTTTTCAAAATGAACTCAAGGGTGGAACAGCCATCCTGCCTAAAATAGACCATGGAATGGCCATTCCATTCGAGCAAATGTGTATGAAATTCTATGTTGTCAAGACATATGATTAATGTTGAGACAGAAATATGGCTTGTTCAAAGAAGTATTGTGCCTTTTACTATGTAACATATCTGTGGTGTTTGTACCCTAGTAGCTTCTGAATCTCTATCATTGTTGATCTCCAAGTAAATGCTCTATGGAACCATTTTGCAAGTTGTTCTTGTTGACATATTAATAAGCAAGTATACTTTTTTCTTTTACATACTCTTTTGGTTTAACACCAGGAACATGATCTGGAAATAGCTTAACCAATTGGACAAGTACCAACGTGACCTTTTTATAGCATTTATTTTTTTAACAAGTTTCTGCTATATTTATGGGCACAGATTTGTAAACAACTGTATATATTTGCATAATGCTTGCTGTATATTACTAGACTATTGATGCCTCGTGGAGCTCTTTTGATGGTTATATGGGTATGGTATTTTTCTCCAGATCTCTTTGCTAGAGGAATGCGGGTTTCTAGAAAGAGCACTTGAGGAGTTGCACAAGAAGGAGCCAAAAATAGTGAGTGTCAAATAATATAATGCTGAGATACTTTTAAGAGTAAATATTTTGTAAGTTTTGAAAGCTTGGACGTTACAAATCTAACCAATTTTGTTCTACTAGGTTGATAAATTGACTTACAAAGAACAAGAGGTTTCTCTCCTGGTGAAGCTTGGACGCCTAGAAGATGGTGCCAATATTTACAAGATTTTGCTCACCATGAATCCTGACAACTACAGGTGAACCTTATGTATTCATTATCTCTTTTGAACACGTGGTTAAACTCATTAATGAATCTTTTGTAGCAAATAATATCAACTAACTTTCTTTTTTATTTAGTGCTTGAAGTTATAAGGAACTTCTTTTTCCCATTGCCATGATGTACTATTATTCCAATGAATCAAGACTTTTTAATTTTGCTGAGTAGTGGATGCGCTTAAATATATATTTTTGAACTAATAGGTTCAACTCTTCCTATATTAAATAAAAAAGCATTAGGCACCACCTCTAGATGCAAATATATTTAAAAAGTAGCAAAGCAACTATGATACAGTTGTAATTCTCTACAAGCATACTCTACCTCTATTAAAAGTCTCTTGGGTGCTTCCTCAGATAGGCAAATGAAGGGAATTCATATCACAGAAATGTTAAATTCTGTCTTCACTTAGTATATGCCTATGTATCAGTTTAATTTATTGCTTTTAGGTATGGGGACCCAACCAAATTACAACTTTTACGATTATACATTTATATTTTTCAGATATTATGAAGGCTTGCAGAGATGCTTTGGCTTGCATACAGAAAATGGCAAGTATTCTTCTGATGAAATTGATCGATTGGATGCATTATACAGATCGCTTGCACAGCAGTACACTTGGTCATCTGCAGTTAAGGTCAGGCACTTATGTCCTGTTTCTATTTTTAATTAAGATGGATGTTTGTGATATGTTCAGTTTATTGCAAGAAGATCCCGGTTACAAGTTCTAAATGGTACCTTGGTATGCTCTGTTCATGATATTTGCTGTAGATTGCTTCTCTCTGTTTCTTGCTTTCTCTCATACATATATTTATAGAATGACATCCCAACAAAAATCTTGCTTTTCTGTGGAGCTGTCAAGCTTTCTCCCCTTTTTTAGAGAGTGGAAGGGTGGCTATGTTAACAAATACTCTTGTAGGGATTTTGTTTTTCGTGATGGCTTGAATAAGTAATGAGGTGCCAAGAAGAATCTAGCGATGTGGTTTTACTGAAGACAGAGTACATCAAATGGCTTGTGATGTTCTTAAATAATTTGGGAAAAGATTGTTGTGGTGTTATGTTGAAATTCTTGATTGATGTCATGACGTGAAAATAGTGAGAACTCTTGGTTAACATTCTACTTTCACTTGCTGCACCCCAGAGAGTTGACATGGTGGCAGCATCACTAATTCCAGAGCTAGTTCTTTTATTAATGGCTATCTCTTTTTGGTTCTTTCAATTAAGTTGCAATTTTGCTGTGTGAAATCATTTGAAGGTTGGGTCTTTGGCCATGAATTGACATGGCCACAGTACTGCATGATAGAAATAAAGTGTCAAACTTTAGAGCTTTTGGAATTCGACTCTTGCAGTTAAATAGTTTTCTTCCATAAACCCACATTTGTAAATTTTGCTGTGATGATGTGCATCAACATTGCCAATACACGCGTACTTTCTTTATGATGTATGATGAATTTTCCTGGACTTATGTTGGAACTTTGTTTTCTTAATTTTTAGAGGATACCACTTGATTTTCTGCAAGGTGACAAGTTCCGTGAAGCAGCATTTAATTACATTAAGCCTCTTTTAACGAAGGTATATATGCAAATGAAATTTTTTTGTGTTCATTTGATTGGTGTTTCTAGTTTTTCAGTGAAATAATGATATAGTTTCTCTGTGCTCTTAGGGGGTTCCATCTTTATTCTCGGATCTTTCTCCCTTGTACGATCACCCTGGCAAGGTAAGTTTGTGTGCTTACATTTATTCTAAAAATAAGATAAAGTTTCTAAATATTAATTCTTCTAAACTGTTTGGCAACTGGTTGTGAACATGTTTTCATTAGGAATGATTTTCCAGCTTTGTTGACTCTTTATGCAGGCAGACATATTGGAGCAACTTATTCTTGAGTTGGAGCATTCAATTAGGACCACCGGGACATACCCTGATAGGTAGTATATGCTTTCAACCCTTGTGTAATAGTGTAGTAAGTCTTAAAGCATTATATACCACTCTTAGAGGTTATATATACTTTGAGCCCTTGAGTGATATTGTAGTAAGTCTTAACAGTGTCAAAATGTTTGGATATTGGGTTTTGGTTTCAGTGCATATTCATTGATTACTTCTAATTTTTAGTCAAGTCCTCTGAAATTTATGTGTTCTGTTAAATGAGTTGATAATGTTTATTACATATTTGCATGTGTAAAGTACATAAATGTTTTTGTTTATCTTCTAATACACAAGCACACATTTGGTGTTTTGCTGAGTCATTTGTTTGTTTGTGTTTCATCTTGAGGGCAGGACAGAGAAAGAGCCCCCTTCAACACTTTTATGGACTTTTTTCTTTTTGGCTCAGGTAAACCATCAGTTTTCTCACCGCATGGATCATGGTCGTTCCTGCAGTAAATATTTGGTGTGATTTCTTTTCATTTTTCCATTGTGTAACTTTGGATTTATGGATGCAGCATTATGACAGAAGAGGCCAATATGATGTTGCTCTTTCAAAAATTGATGAGGCCATACAGCACACGCCAACTGTAATTGATTTATACTCTGTCAAGGTTTGTTCTTGTCATCAATTTTAAAATTTTTACATTGGCTTCATCTGCAGGGTTCTATATTTCTGTCAGCTGGATCCTTTTTTATTTTTTATTTTGCATTGGTTTTGCCTACTCTGTCTCAAATTTCATGGAGACATAGCATTGCCTGAAAACCCTTAAAGATATTTCCTTGGACTTATTACTCACTTGTAAGAGACTCATCACTTACAATGATACTGATGTTAATTGGATATTTGTTGTGCGCTAAATTGTGCAAATTGCTATACATATTCATATAACATGGATACAAGTTTTTCTTTGTGGAAATAAGTCTTGATGGGCATTCGGCAGGCTTATAACCTTGTTTCATAGATTCAGGGTTTTTGATGCATGTCTTTTGCATCTTGATGAACATGTATTTTGGAGAAATTCTTGGAATTTTCTTGAAGTTGGGTGTAGATGTATATTAGTTGCTTCTGTGGTGGCAGAGCCGGATAATGAAACATGCTGGTGATTTGGTAGCTGCGGCTTCATTGGCAGATGAAGCTAGATGTATGGATCTTGCAGACCGCTATATAAACAGTGAATCTGTCAAGCGAATGTTGCAGGCTGATCAGGTTCTAAAGCTGTTTCCCCCCCTCTTTTGTAATATTTGATATTTGTTACTATTGAAATTTCTTTCGCTATTACTGTACTCTTCATGAACTCTTTCCACTCTTGAAGGTGGCGTTGGCAGAAAAAACTGCTGTATTGTTCACAAAAGATGGGGATCAGCACAACAACCTTCATGACATGCAATGCATGTGGTCCGTTTTTGTTTATTGCTTTGGGCATGTTATCTCTAATTATAACTGGGTGGACCAATTGAGTGTTATTCTTCCTTTGAAGGTATGAACTTGCTTCTGGTGAAAGTTACTTTCGACAAGGTGATCTTGGACGGGCCCTGAAGAAATTTTTAGCTGTGGAGAAGCACTATGCTGATATTACTGAAGATCAATTTGATTTCCATTCTTATTGTTTACGGAAAATGACGCTGCGTGCATATGTTGAAATGCTAAAATTTCAAGATCGGTTGCACTCACATGCTTATTTTCACAAAGCAGCGGCTGGTGCAATCAGGTGAAGCATTTTTGTTAGGATCTATGAGCATTTCAATGATTCACAATAGACTTATTCTGTTTGATATGTGGCTGTAAGAGGCTATTTCATCACTGTTGTCTCCTTGTAAGGGTGCTTTTAATGTCTCACTTATTGCTGATTAACACGTGCATGTGGGGCTTCATTTTGGGTTGGGTTCCTCTTTGCCTCTCTCTTTTTCCTTTTTCTTTTTGAAAATAGGGGATGATTGCATAGATTTCACGTGCATTTGTATGTGTTTGAAAGTTGGAAGGATGCAATGTCATTTATTAGAGGATTCCCATGATGATGAGACCTTCTGATAAATGTCAAACAGGACCAAAAGTTTTACTTGGTAGTCTCACTCTGCTTCTATTTTTTGTAAATTTCTATTCTTATGATGTTATTACTGAAAGGATTAAAAAATGTTCCTTGTGGGCATATTAATTTGATATTGTGGCTGGTTAAATGATAGGAAGGCGGTTTTTGGATTTCTGTTGGGTTAAGGATAGAGAGTTGCATGCTACCAGAAATGATTTGTTGATCATAACTTTTTATATTGATTCTTATTTAATGGGATGGTGTAATGGAAAGGGATGATACAGTGATGGACCACGCAACAATTAAGTGAATAGCTTTTGTGATTGAGCCATTGTCTGGTTTCCATGTTGGTGTTTCTTATTCAGAAATATTTTTTCTTGAAATTAGTGATTGCTTAAATATCGGACTTATTCTTTCTTTATTGGTGATAATTCTTGGATTTTGAATTGCAGATGCTATCTAAAGTTGTATGATTCTCCTTTGAACTCACCAGCTGAAGAAGAGGATGATGCATCAAAGACTCCTTCTCAGAAAAAGAAAATGAAGAAGCAGAGAAAGGCGGAGCGAGCTAAGAAAGTATATCAGCTTGTTTTGATGATTCTTGGGGAACATTCTCTTTGATGATTTCATTCTAATGCTGTGCACTATTTTAGGAGGCAGAGGATAAAATTGAAGAATCAAGTGCTAGTGGTGTCTCTAAGTCTGGGAAACGACACGTTAAACCTGTAGATCCAGATCCTTATGGAGAAAAATTATTGAAGGTTTGCTTTTATCGCTTTTCTCCAGTGCTCTAGGTTCCTAATTGAAGTCCTCCTGTGCTATAAAAACGTGTTTCTCTAATGCCTATTAAGCTAGGATTCTGTTTAATGTGGTTTTTAACAGACTGAGGATCCCTTGTCAGAAGCAACAAAATACTTGAAGTTGCTTCAGAAGAACTCGCCTGATTCTTCGGAGACACACTTGCTTTCTTTTGAAGTAAATATGAGAAAGCAGAAGATTTTGCTTGCCTTTCAGGTATTTATATTTTCCAAGACTTTCTTCTTTTTGTCATGTTTGATCAACTGAACTAATATTTAAATGTGACCAAGTGGATTAAGAATTTGTATGAGGCAGCCCCCTCCTCCCTTGTTTTCTTCTGTCTTTTCGCTTGCTGCCTCAATATCTGCTTGGAGCGTAGAAACTGTAGCTTTTCACCAAATATCTTTGTCTTATTACTTGATTCATTCAATGAATTTATGTGTGAATTAGATAGTTTGGGTAACTTATCTTTGAGTTGAAGATTAATGGTTCTGCTCAGTTGTACTTTTATTATTCTATGATATCATATTAATACATTTGTCTTGCTTTTATTTTCCTTTTCCTGAAGGCTGTCAAGCAACTGCTAAGGTTGGATGCTGAGAATCCAGATTCACATGGCTGCTTGGTATGTAACATCTGCTGTATCATATTGTGCGTTGTCATGCACAAGTACATTCTTTTTGGTCATTAGATACAAAGATCATCTAATCTTAACACTGCTCATTTGAATTTAATTTTATGTAGATTAAATTTTTCCATAAAGTGGGCTCAATGCCTGATCCAGTGACTGATGGTGAGACACTTGTTTGGAGTGTCTTAGAAGCTGAGCGTCCATCCATCAGGTTCTATTTGAAAATAGGCTTTATGATTGTTATTCCCCTAGCTGGAATTTTGTTTTATTACTGTTATTATTATTATTATTATATTTTGATCCCTGATGCGTTAAATCGCTTCATTTTATATTTCGGCAGTCAATTGCAGGAGAAAACTCTTGGTGAGGCAAATGAAATTTTCCTTGGTAGACATGAAGGTATTATTGACCTTATATAACATGCATGCATATGCATTTTTTGGCAGATTCTTTGATACAGTATAGTTATGCAATGTTAACTTTCTGGTTCTGCAGATTCTTTGATGCACAGAGTGGCAGTTGCAGAAATGTTATATACCTTGGAGCCCACCAAGAAACTTGAAGCTATTAAGTTAATTGAAGATTCAACAAATAAAGTTGTGCCAACGTAATGATTTTAGTGTATTCAATTTTCTGCCATTAGATATTGATTTCTTTGCAACTTGTTTGTGAGATTAATTGTTTACAGTTTTTCTGTTTCGCTGATACAGGGATGGAGCACTTGGACCAGTATCAGAGTGGAAACTCAAGGACTGTGTTGCAGTCCATAAACTCTTAGAAAAGGTTCTTATTGACCATGATGCTGCTTTGAGTAAGTATTTTTCTCCACATAAATTGATACTGACTAGTAATTTTTGACCTTGACTTCATTAACAACTTATGGAATTGATTACTGTTGTTAGTTTTGCGAGCGTCTTCATAAGAAATTTTAATGGTTTTGGAATTTTGATATACTGTTATTAGATATTTGTAGATCAGCTCCGTAAAAGGAATATGTTAAATTATGATTTAAATATTTGGTTTCAGCATCACAAGTTCTGATGGCTGTTGGTTTTTGTTATTACGTTTAGTCTTTAAAAGGTGGGTGACATGATTAGTATTGGCATCTTACAGAAAGGTGGGACTTTGATGATTAAATTTTCTCACTTTCTTATCTATGATAAATCAATTGTTGTCGCAAGCTATGTGACGACTTTGTTTAGACCCTCTTTATAAATATTTACTAGAAAATTCAAGAGCACCTACTCCTTGCTGGAGTTGTCAAACCTTGAGTATATTGAAAATTGTTCTACAAATAGGGGAAATTTGCATGTCTGGTGCTATTGGTCATGTGTTGTACTCTTAGGGAAAGGCTAATTGTCTAATGTAAAAATTGCTCAGGCAGAAAGAAATAAAATCTTTGGTCTGATAATTTTCTTATACTGCAGGATGGAAAGTGAGATGTGCAGAGTACTTCCCTTACTCTACCTACTTTGAAGGTAGACGTAGCTCTGCTGTGTACAACGTGTTGAATAATCAGGTTAGCAAAACCCCTGTGAGTGGGGGTACCAGCCATCCTGAAATCAGTCAAGGTGCAAATTCCATTATATCAAATGGAAAGCTTGAGGCATTTAAAAACCTTACCATTTGAAGATGATGCCGCTTATGTGCATCAACTGACATCAGACTCAATGAGTTTGAATGGTGGGTCGCATTAAAAGTACCCTAGAAAGAGTGCTTTGCTGCCGGGGAAAGAGGAGTATCTTGAAGTTGTGCAAGCCGCCAACCATTCGTCTGTTGCTTTGAGATGAAAATTCTCTGCCTTTCTTGATTGTGGAATGCATTCCTTTGCAAATGTGTATAATTTCTTGGCATTTATGATTTTAGGGTTGAATATATATATATATATATATTATATTATATATATTTTTGCTTTTAATTTGCTCACCATTTGGTGAGATGCTTAGAGTTTGGCTGGCTCCATGGTTTTGCCCCAAAATTTGAGGCACTATAGAAAATTTTTGGGTATGGTTCTCAAATCTTCTGGTCAGCATAGAAAAAAAAAAAAGGGAGAAAAAAGACTGATTTAGAGCTTAATCTTTGGAGCATGTTGTACTTCTTGGCCCATTTCATTAGCAGTCGTGTATAAACACTACATAATGTGGAAAATTTTGCTACGGCGTTGAAAAGAGTGGCTATCAGATAATTTCCAGTTTTGTTGTTTATTTGTGTCTTTTGTTTGCTGTGATATTTTTTTATTTTTTATTGTGGCATATGGTGAATTGCGATTAAGTCATACATGTTTAATTTATCTTGAAATTCATACATAGTGATAGTGGAGATGTAATTAGTAGTAGAAATTATGAATTAAGCAGCGTAGAGTTGATGGTCTAGGAAATGGAGCAAGTTCTCCTTTCGTCTATACTTAGGGTGGTTTTCCGCCAGCAGCGTCGTAATCCAAATCAAAACCATCAGGATTTGTCTCAAATGGCGCAACAGTGTTCTCACCTGGACTATCAGGATTAAAGATTCAAGTAATGAATGAAGCAAGATTTCCTTTATCCAGCATATATAAGATGATGGGAGAATAGTCCTTTTGCATTTAGGCTATTCCAATAAATTTACAACATGGTAAGGGCAAATGGAGTACTCATCAACAGTAGCAATTCCAATAATTTCTTGCCTATATAAACAGTGGTGGTGGTGGGAAAAAGAACGAGAGAGGTTGGCTGCAGAAACCATAACTGCCTGGGGTACTGTTACTTTGCTCAACTTGTGGCCAAATGCAAAAATCTGTAGAAAAAAACACAGTAAGGCTCTTCAAGCATTTGGCTTCTCATGCTAACTATCACACGTTAAGCAAAAGCCACCTGGTGCCGATCGCAAATAACATTTAGACATTGTCCCACGACCTTCAACTGGTACCTCGTCCATTCTCTTCCTATGCTGTTTAATTTTAGTCTCTCGCTAATGGTGAGCCACTGCTGCCCTCACCAACCTCACTTTTACATAGGGGACAAGATGCATTGATTTTCAACCATTTATCTACACACTCCACATGGAAGACATGGATGCATGGCAGCTCCCTCAGCTCATCATTGTCTGCATATTTTGCCAAGCAAATACAACAAACCTGCAGCACCTCAAGTTAGTAAGCAGTATTATTGATTCAAGGGCAGGCAAATCAAATTGCTCATAACCACCTCCAAGTCAATCTACTACATCTCTTTCACGTATCATGCAGCTTTACGACAGTGCTCAGGAGTCAAGTAGTGCAACCTAATAGCTAAACTCAGCAAGTAAATTAAAAGAGACAAAACTAGCTAGATGCTCCAAAGTTTGTTATTCTATACCTATCTAGATTTGTTCAGTTCCATCTAGTTTGATCCTAGCAAGTACTCTGAAGGCAGTTTAAGTTATTGCAGCTTACACCTAAGACCAATAATGTGGCAGCAAATTCCTATCATTAAACTTACTGCATCTTCTCCAGATATCACACGTTCCTTTGCTGTCCCTGCTGCAAGGATTCCACCGTCACCAGCTGAGTCATCCTGATTATTGACATTTCCACTTTTCTTGGATTTGAACTTGTAGATTGGCAACGCATTTATAGATTCCACAGTTGCTCCTCTAGTTTGTGAAAAATCCTCCCGAAAACCAAGGACAGATATTATGCAGGGCAAGCAGCAACAAATTGTTGCACATAGTATGAAAGGCATGGCATATCCAATACAGCTAAAAGTAAGGAACACTATACATAACCTGCAACACAACCGATAAACAGTTCGTAAAGGTAATCAAATTGTGAATCTCAGTCAAAACAGAGCAATAAATTTTATTAGTCCCCATTGTACCTGTACAATTTAGGAGCATCAGAAGGAGATGAATGACCTCCAAATATCCATACATTGCCCACGACAAACCACACTGCGAAAAAACAATCTAGAGCCATCTTGAAATGGTCTACTAATCCATTGAGCCTGCATATTATACACCAATTATTCACTTGGTGACACCATCTAAATGATAGTATGCAGAATCTACAGAAACTTCTGAGATAAGATAATAACAGCTTATTATATTATATTATATTTTATATGCTTACATATAATTTTTCAACTAAATTTCCTTTTTATGGCCATAGCCACTTAACTTTGGCATGCTTATTTTGTCAAAGTACAATTCTGTTGCACGTGAGAAAAATTTTGGCTTCACTCTTATAACTAATAAGTTTCAGATTTTACATGTTCTCCTTATGAGCAAAAATTAAAATAAACCTCAAATCTCAACTGAAGCACACAATTGGGACTGTTTCACTCCCATTTTATCAGATTTTCCAAAAATCTAACAACAACAATGTTGATTTGTGAAATCATAGTAAATAAGCGGATATAATACTACTAATATCTTAAATGCGTGCTTATATGTGTTGGTCAACAAGATTAGTAGGCTCCTTTTGCCTATCCCAGGTTACATTTTAATGATCACATTAATCCAATATATATCAGTTGTTTATTATGCACAAACAACAATTTGGAGGATTTATAATCTATATTGCACACTATTAGTAAACAAAAAACTCTTTCCAATACAAAAAGAAAAAATCATTTCCAAAAAATTCTAAAATTGACTATCTTATATAATAAAAAGCATAGTTCATTGTGTTGTAACTAAATGAAGATTCAGATAGATCTAATATGATGTGCAGCATGTATATCCATCTTCATTGCCAATGCCACTGCAATAGCTACTGCAACAACTGTCTCTGCATTGCGGCACCACTACTCACCAGCATTATGACAAAACAAAGATGTTAGCAGTAGCACCACTGATCTTTGCAGTATTGGCATAATTATGTAACTGAATCACCATCATCTTCACTATTTTCCACCACTAACACTGGCACCATAAACACCACCTTTTCTTTCTACTACCACCATCATCACAACAGTTTTGCTCTCAGCATTTGCCCCTTAGCTAGAACATATAGAAGAATGATAAAAAGGAAATTTGATGTTCTTTCATCTAAACATAATGTTCACAATTTCTTTAAGACATTCACAACCTATTTGGAAAACTAACAGAAATATATATCATTTGACACATTGATGAAAATTCCCACCAGAGAAAAACATGAACAATTCATTCTGTTAGCAGCAAGTTAAATTCTTCCAGAAGTGTTACTATGTTTTCTGTGCTATATAACAGCAGCTTAGTCCAACAAAGAGTTCACAAAGAAATCAACCAAAAAATAGCAGGAGCCATGGCTTTTTTTTTTCTTTTTCCTGATGCTCTTACATAGAGTTATTCAACTAAAATGTACTATTAATTAGTGTCTTCATTATGGATGATAAATGCAAGCAAGTTTATAATGTAAAGTACTTCACAATCTACTTTATCAAACTTATAATATAAAAAATAAGAGCAGAGTGGAGTTAATACAAAAGTAGACATAAAGTAATGATTGAATAACAAATACAAACACACCTTGTACTTAGGGTTCCTGCTATCTGACTGTTCCTTGTTGCTGATTCAGTGATACGATTATTCTCCTCATCTGAAGCTTGAGTAACTGAGATAGCTGTATAGGATGTAGACTCACTGGGATTTCCAAGAGAAGAACCTTGACGTGAGTGTGACAAATCTTGCTCAATACCTTGGTTGCGGTTACGAAAGCGCCAATAAAGAATAGGAAGCGTTGCAACGCAACCGGATGCATAACCAACAATCCATGCAAACAGCGGAGCTTGTGGCTTTTCATTTCTTGACAATGACAGAACAACAATAGATGCTATAATTTGACTGACAGTAACAACTAGCTCAACAGAAATCCATAAGCCAGAATTTAACGGGCTCCTGCGACGTCGACCATACCCATCACTTCTCCTCATGAATGATGAATTCCTAGAGTTTAATCTGTTTGAAGAAGAAGTCTGATTAGTGGGAGCTTGTGTGCTGCTGGAAGGTCTATCTTCGCTCTGTGTTAAGTTCATTCCAGGAGGTTGCTCATCATGAGATGAGCTTGATGAAGCATCATCATGCCTTGTTATGTCAATGATGTGCTCTTGATCACTATGGCTTTCCACTCGTTCCATTAGCAATGGGTATCGGTCAGTTTGCTCACTACTTTCTTCCAGAGAGGAACTGTCCATCTAAGTCTGGCGACCCAATTAGAAGGTGTGCTAGCATAGGTCGCTTATAGAGCTTCCAGGTATCTACTATTTTCTACCCCAATTCTCTCTTAACATCTACCGGATTTGTCTTATAAACTTAATAAGCTTGCCAAGCACCTTAAAACAGTTGGCACTGCAAAATCTCTGAATCCACCAACTTTATTCCCTCTTTACACAAAAGCTGCCATGAAATCAAACGTAGAATCAATTTTTATATACTAATCATGTCAAGAAAAACCGTGTCTTGAAATATTGGAGAGAGCATGTGCGTGTCTGTATGTAGTTATAACATGGTTACACAGCATAATCGGTAAGTAAAATTGAGCAGCACCAGCTCAACAAAATGATGCACCAACAGCATAATCAGACGACAAAGCAATTACAACGAGTAGAGGACAGCATTTATTACAAATACATTAACCAATCACCAAATCAGGTTGTGAGATCACCACTACATAAACAAAAGAAACTAGATCCTTAAACAATAAAATACGGCGTTACAGTAACATTAAGCATTGACAAGACTTTATGAAGAAAAGATCTGATATTTCCACACCGAATTCATACAAAACTAAACCAACACTACTTGTAAATAAAATCCCGAGCAAAAAGAAATCGAAATTTTCAAAAGATCATGATTAAAATAAACAAAACATTACATTTCCAGTTATATTTTTTGATAGCCCAAAACACTATTAGGATAATACAATAACTGGACTTCAACTGAAGAATAATTAAAAATTCAATCTTTTAAACATTTTTAAGCTATTTTTCAAAGAAAATTAAAACCAACCCATTAATTAACTCCAACGAAATTAAAAACTCATAATTAACTGCATAATCAAGTTGAATTAATAATATAGAAAAGCCCTAATAAAAAAAAAGAAAAAAGATTGGAACCTTACCAAAGTTTTGAATAATAAATATCTGATGCTATATGGAAGTAAATAAAAAGAAGAAGTGTGCCAATAGATTGACTGACTAAGCTTTTCAAAACCCACCTCTTTTTCTTCCCCTTTCTTTCATTTTCTCGAGAAAATATAGCGTCAGCTTTTCTGCCCCATTTGCTTACGCCAAGAGAGAGAGAGAGAGAGAGAGTGCAAGCGTTTCTTCTTTTTATGTTTATTTATTCCTTTGGATGGAAGATGAGAGAGAATTAGAAAAAAGTGAGAAAAATCGTGGACCGTTTGATTGAGGGGGTTCTGATCTGTGTGGTTGAAACTTTTTGGTATTATTGGATCTAGCGGTTTGGATTTATTTAAGATGAATACCAATGAAAATCAGAAGTCTATTTCCCTATTTGTTGCAATGAGGCCCCATCCACCATATGTAAAATTTACACATGTTGTTAATTCATTGAAATATGTTTTCTTAATATGACTGCTATACCATCCACAGAAAAGGTAAATTACATGAAAAAAAACCCATTTTTTTAGTAATTTTAAAAAGTTGAAATAGGAGTCAAAATTGTAACCTTTTATAAATTCAAATTCATAGTAAAAAAGTGCTTAAAGTTTTAAAATCATGCTCTGTAATTTACCCAAATTCTTGCAATTTATCCATTGGATATCTTTTTCTTGTTTCACAAGCAAAAAAAGAAAGGGAAAATGTTTGAATTTATTTTCTTTGAATATTGAGGCAAGGCAAGTTGTACAACCCTTTAAAATAAGAGGTTATGCTACTCTTTTTTGATAATACTCAATTTATTATAGTTTTGCCAAATTGTTCCTTATCACTTACAAAATCAAGATTATATCGAGTGTAAATTCATCCCTCCACCAAAAATAGGAAAAAAAAATTGTTAATGTGTAATAAAAAAAATACTTAGTGATATTTTTCTATGTTCTCATTTTTTCTTCAATATAGGTAAATTATATGTTTTTCCCAATCGTCTTTTTATTTGGTTCAATTTTTTTTTGATTTTATTTATTATCTATTTTTAATTCATAAAAAATATTTTATTTTATTTGTCACTTTCATTTTAAAATTTATAATTTAGTTTAATAAAATTAAGTATTTTTTTATTTATTGAAAACATAAATTAAAATATTATCAAAATAATTTTTTACATAATAGAACAATTCTGCATTAAGTTTATCAAACACTATTTTATCTTCTCTTTATAACACATTTCAAAACAATGTTATTTGAATAAGACATTTTGTATAATCTAATACTTATGGCAGAAATCAACAACAATCTCTCACCTAGATATTTTTTTGAAGTTATTACTTATAACCTTTTTAAAATTTCATCATAGGAGAACTTTTACTTATTTATGTTTTTTTCTTATTTATAAATTCTTTTATTTTATTTTTATTATTTGTATTATTTTGTTATTATTATTATCATGCAAATCCTTCTATTGAAAACTTTTTAAAATTTTTCAATATTTTTGGCAAAATTTTAGAAGATTTTCTTATTAAAAAATTCTCTCCAAGTTATTATTTACAACTTTCTTGAGATTTTATTATCAGAAGATTTTTGTTCATTTATGTTTCTTTCATAATTTCTTTTTAAATTGTTTTATTATCTATATTATTTATTTATCATTATTTATGTAAATTCTTATGTTGAAAATTTTGTAAAATTTTTCAATACTTATGGCAAAATTTTAAGAAATTTTCTCACCTAGAAATTCTCTCAAAATGATTACTTCTAACTTTCTTTAGATTTCAACATTAGAGAACCTACATATATTTATTTAATATTATAATTTTAATTTGTAAAAATTTTAAGTGTTTGTCTATTATTATCTTATATGTCTATAATAATTATTTATAAATAATTTTTTTTACAAAAATTAATTATGAGATTACCACTTGATACTTACTTACGGGGAGGTCTCATAATTATTCTTACTTTGAAAATTTTAAAAAAATTACTACTTGTAACCTTAAGATTTTCATTTAGAAGATTCATTTTTAAATAATTATACAATTTTATGTATATATTATAGAATTTTAAATGATTTATTTTTTTATTCCAAACTATTATGACAAAAAATCAATCTATATAAAGGGCATGGGTTTTTCATTTACCTTTTTTTTATTTTTTTATAATTTTTAAAATATTATTAAAATACAAAAAAATTGAATAAATAATTAGTCTGTTTTTGAGACCTAAAACACTAATTGAGCCCTTGGTCAAGCTTATGGCAAGCTTTATATTGGATTTGAATTGGGTCAAAGCCTCGCACCAAATTTGTCTTTTTCCTCTTTCGATATGACGTCGTTTTGAGAAAGTATATAAACTTCCTTATTAAAACCCTGTTTCATTTCTTCTCTTCCCCTTTCTCTTGTGCATCACTTCTACTATTTCATTTCTTTTCTTCTCCTCTTTCTTGATTTTCTTTTCTTTCTATTCCTTCCTTACACCGAATGGAAACCTTCAAATTTCCCAAAAGACAAAACCTAAAACTAAACGTTCACCAAAAAGAAAAATCATACAATCTCTCTTCCAATCGATCCCCTCCTCTTTTTTGCATTTAATGTTGGTTGATTAAGGGGTATTTATATGTATTTTTGTGTTGATCTTGGATTAGGATTTCCTTCCTCTTTTTTTAAATGAATTTAAAAAATTACTAGATTAAGATCGGTTTAAACCAATCCTTAATGCATTTGGTTGTTCATTCAAAACTTTTTCTATCATTATCATTACTTTTTTTTTTGGGTTATTTTTTATTATTTATTTTTTATTTTTCTTAGTTTTATTTTTTCAATTTCTATTTTATTTATTTTTATCATTAGAATAGCTTTGGACAAATGGGGTGTCTATAATAGTTGTTTCAATTAGTATGCAATATTCATTAAAAACTTGAGATGTAAATTTATTAGCATTGTCGAGACAAATTGTCTTGATTGTATAATGTCAGTTAAAATTTACCAACGCAAGTATGCATATAAAAAGTTAATACCATAGTAAACAGAGTGTCGATATCACAAAAAATTAAGCTAAAATTTTACTAAGTATTAAAATAAAAATAATTTAATCTTATCCAAACAATTAAAAGTAGAGATCTAATTAAACTAGAAATTAATTAACCAAAACTAACTAACCAATAATTAAAAATCAAAGTAAAATATAATTAAATAAAATCAAATTAAACAAGTCTAGGATTACAAAATCCTTCACATTTCATCTAAATCTTACATTTCTTCCTTAACTTATTCCAATGGATTGAATTGTTAACCTAAAGTACTCAATTATTTATAATACTCTCTCAAGTCTTTTATAAAAATATCTGCTTTAATCAAAATACTATATTCTTATGTGAATTGAAATTAAAATATACTCATTAGTTTAAGCTCCAATATTAGCTACATACAGCATATAAGGATATTCCTATCCTATACACAAATTAATTTATTTATTTAATCAAATAAATATGATCATATGTTATTTCAATTTTAGTTTACATTAAACTCACTTTTTCATGTTTGTTTAGGTTTCTAGATCAATTTAATTGGTGATTAAGTAATTAAAAGCATTAAGAATAAATTCAAATAATCAATCAATCCCATTGAAAATAAGCTAAAAAGGGATTAAAAATTTAAATTACATGTTAGTTCAATTGCAATCCTAAAAAATAAATTTAGCAAGACATAATTGCAAAAGTAAATAAAAACATATGAAGTTTAATCCTAAAACATATGAAGATAGAGCATGTAACATATGATAATTCACTAGATTGAAAAATCTTCTGGTTTTTTAATAGATGACTATATGTATTTTCAAGAATTTTTTGCATAATTATTGATCAAGATGGCCGAATTGGTTATACCAAACATTAAATTATTAGTAAACTTCTGGTTCACTATACAATGAGTTTCAATCATTCTAATATTTGTGTAGTACAATCTAGAGAACAAAACGAGTAATTTTTCAACACATACTTCTTACCTAAGATAATAAATATAATATAAAGTTCTTAAATGTCTCTCTCATTCATTGTCTCAATATGATATCCATTTAGACGAATATATTTTAAACTTAATAAATTTCTTTGAGACTTAGTAAAAAATAATACATTTTTTATTATAAACTTTGTTTCTTCGGGTAGTAAAATATTGACTTTTTTGGAGCTTTCAATTAATCTTGTACTACTAGATATTATATTGAAATTGATTTCTTCCATTGTCAAGTGAGAAAAATATTTCTTGTCATTAAATATAATGTATGTGTTGTGGCAATGTTTGCTAGACTTAAAATTAATTAAATCTTTCAACTATATTTATAACTAATTAAATTTCATAATTTTGTGATTGAAAATAAAAAGTTTTGGAGAAAAGGAAAATGGAAAGAGATAAGAAGAAAAGGGAAAAAAGAAATAAGATATGAAATTGAGAAATAAATAAAAAAGGGGTATATTCATTTTCTTAATTTAAAATTAGCTTAAGAATTAATACTATCATTTTTTCAAAAGAGGAAGGGTAAGAATGTGTTTTCCAAACTAATGATGGGTAAGTTTTATCTTTAAATTATCTTAATTCATTTAGAGATATATTAGATGATTCATAAGTGAATTTTGATTAGTAAAAAACAATGAGTTTTTGAGATTTAATTGCTCATACCACATGTATTTATATTAATTTATGAAAAAATAATTATGTTGTAATTAATTATATGGCTAGTGTAAACATCACATTTTATCTAGAGTAATTTAAGGTTATGGTGAAATAATCATATGGTGAAATTTGATTTTAGTTTTTAACTTTGAATTAACTATTTTTTTAGCTTATTTGGATTAATTTTGTTTGAGCCTAACTTTACATGAATTTTGATCTTAGTCCAGTAAGATTTGGATAATGTGAGCTTTTGTAATCCCAAATTAATTGAAGCCCATGGGATATATAATCAAAATAGAAAAAATAAAAATATAACAAAAAAGAAGAAATTTTGAAAAAAAAGAAGAAAGCTGGGCATAAAATTTCAATGGCACATCATGGTAGTCAGCTTTCCCTCCTCATAAGTCTCCTACTTTCAAAACTTTCACCCATTTCCAACACCAAACTTTTTCTCTTTTTAAATCATAAAAAAATTCCAAACCCAAATTCAATAAAACACATAGGTATCAAGCAAGAAAAAGAGAAGAAAAAAACCTAAAAGTATGCAAAGAAAAAGGGCCCTTTCTTAAGCACTATCTTCCTCTGACAAC